AAATGGCATAAAAAACCATTTTACATTGTTGGTCCTTTTTTATGCTTGTTTTTTTTCTAAATTTTATTTTTGTTGATTGCATACTTTGTATGCTTAATGTTAATTTTTTATCTTCTTTAATTAAGAATTAATAAATACTATAACATATTGTTCTGTTTTGTTTTTATCATGTCGATTTATACATATACAACTGTACATGTATGCATCTCTTTTATAACAATGTATAATTTATTTTTCATTTATAGTTGAGTAAGTGTTTAATGTTGGGATAAATGCAAATTGTGCATAGTCTTGCAGATATCATGGCAACTTAATTTTATTGGGTTTCACTAATAAGGAGTACTTCCAACTGACTTCATATTTAATTTGTGAAGCTTAATTTATGCTTTATATTGTATATTGGCATAAGATTATATGCATGCACTATAATGACTGCTAAGGAAATGTGACACACCAAGGTTTTCTACAATCGTTGTACATGTATTTTGAGTATTAGTGATTGTTCGATCAAGATCGAACAATTCAGATTTGATTTTTTTAATTTAAAATTATAATCTTTAAGTTGATATCAGTCAATTTTTTAACCATTAGTCTTTGATAGAACATCCATTAATACTTCAAACGTGTGAATTGACCGCATTAGAGAAATTGGCACTTAAAATTGATACACGCTTAAGTGTAAAGTCTAAAGGTTAAAATTTCTAAAATCTTAGACCATATTCGACAATCACATGATATTGGGAAATAGATATATAAAACTTCTTTATTGTGAACTTTAAATTGATACTTTGTAGAAAGGAAAAACAATTTAGAAATAAAAAGTTAAAAAATCACGCTAACTAGAAATGACCAATTGTCTAATTATAAAAGGTAATAAAATCACTTGATCATGTTGAGTAGATGCAATGATTTCATTATATTAAAATCAAAACAAAATTAAGGTTTGAAACTCAATATAATTAGAGATGGAAATTGGACTCATCCGTAGTGGTTAACGCAAAAATTATCCACAATGGGTGGAGTAAAAACCTGCAAAATTGGTTAATTAATCATTTTTAGAAAAATATTAAAATAATATTTTTCCAACCTATTTTATATATATATTATAAATTTTGCGGCGGATATTTTAATCATGTACGAAATGTTAAATTCATCTAATGTATTTGAATTTCTTGAGATTTTTAAAATAAATACATAACTAATATGATTTAATTATCAAATTCATGGAAATATTTAACTACAACTTATCAATCGTTCTAAATAAAATATAATATATACAAATTGGCAAAAGAGCGTCATTTTTAATGCACTAATATTTTAGTCATATAAACTATATAAAAGAGATTTTATGAGAATTCTTAATGTAGTAAATTTTAAATGTTACGAAAAGGCACGACGTTTGAAATATATTGTCGCTATTTGGTGTCTCTGGCAACACTTTTTTAGGTAACATGTAGAAATTGTTGCCTTAAATTCATATATGCAACGATTTACGATTGTTGTCAAAAATATGTTTGCAACCCTTGATAATCGTCGCCTAAAATACTTTTGGGGACGTTTATGGAGCGATACTCTTTTATTTTTTTGCCAACGGTTGTTAATTGTGCCCTTAACTGCTTTTGGGGACGATTTTAGAGCGTTAAAATATTATTTCTTTAGCAATGTTTGACAATTGTCCCCTAAAATATTTTTGGGGACATTTTTAGATTGTTACATTAGTTCTAATAAAAGGCTACATTTCTGAAATGTTGTATAAATTTTTTTAGAATTATCAAATTTTTGGTGGCAATCTTCCCTCCAAAACTTATACACTAAAAAACAAATATTTTTCTCTAAACATTATTAATATATAAAAAAAAAAAAAATTTCTAACACAGGAATTTAAAAATAAAAAATTTCAATTAAACAGAAAATAAAAAATTATATATATATATATATATATATATATATATATATATATATATATATATATATATATATATATATATATATATTAGAAAACAAAAAGCAACAGATAAGGAAAAGAAAAAGAAACAGATAAGGAAATAAAAAAAAGAAAAAGAAACAGATATGGAAAACAAAAGCAACAGTTTTCGATTCTCCTTCTTTTTCGTTCACACATTTCGCCGAACCTAGCCGCGCTCTCAGACGCTCCGTCCTTCATCCGCTCCGAGTCAAACCTCTTTCGTTCACACCCTCCGCCGTGTTCTTCGTCACTCCGTCCAACTGCCACGCCGTGTTCGTCGTCCACGTCGTCGTCCATTCGTCGTTCGTCGTCCAACTGCTTTCGTCCATGTCATCCACCGTCCACGTCGTCCGCCGTCCACATCGTCCAAGTCGTCCGTTGTGTTTGTATGTATTTCTGCATTTATATTTCGATCTCCATTTCGTATCGTTGTGTTTGAGTTGAATCTGAGTGTTTTGATGGTTGTTTGAGTTTGTGTGGGCATTTTCATATTTGTTGTTGATATAAGAAGTTGACTAGTAGTATTATCTTTTGGTAGCAATGTTTAAAGTAGCAGTAGAAGCATGTTTGTATCAAAAATTGGTATTTCATTGAAATTGGTTTAAAGTAGCAGTAGAAGTAGCTAGAATGACATTGTATGAAACCAAAAAATTGGTATTTCATTCAAATTGGTTTAAATCTTCGTAGTCTACATAATTGACAACCTATATTATAATAATACATTCATGTAAGATTATATATGATATAACACTCATAAGTTATGTGAAGACTACACATGAACCATATTGCAGAAGGTTAAAACCTGAAAAAGTTATGATGACACTATAAAAGTATTGGTCATGGTTAAATACTATGTAGTCATGAATAAAGCAATTATGCAGAATTAAAGATTATAAACCATAAAAATACATTGTTGCTATATGGCTATGATGAATTATGCAGTGATCAGTTGCACAAATAATAGGCTACAAACAAATACAATTATCATCTGGTTATTTTAAAGGAACATAAGTTATAGAAGTTTCCATTTAGTGAAAAAAATATAGCTTCCACAAATAATTATTGACAGAGTAATAATCTAGTTTAGTCATGAGTGATTTGTAAGCAACCCAACGAAATAGTTATGATTTCATACATAAAGATCCATTTAAGAAAGTGTGTCAGACCATATCAGTTATAATTTTCGTTGGTTCAACTTGTTGTTTATCACAAGCTAAATTGTATATGTCATGCGTGGTGCAAGACTTCAGTAGGATATGATGTTGACTAGTTGTATCTAGAATTAAAATTACATTTTTAAAAGTAACTTATTGTATGTGAAATGTGAGTATAGGTTGAAGTGAAATAATGGGAAGAAAGTGTACCTAGTAGCAGTTTGGAACTATGACCATGTATCAATCTATCAGCATTGAGAAGTGACAGCAGTAAGGTTGTGCAAGTTTTATATAAATTATGTATGTAGTGTACCGGCTACCAATACCATGGCTTTGTGCTTGCTGCATTCCCAAAAATAAGGAAGAGGTCAAATCGATTTGTCTTAAAATGTGGAAAAGATAACAGCTAAGCAATAAAGTATTGCATAAAAACAGAAAATAAAAAGGTATAGAGACTGATATTGTTAACTTTGGCCTCAAAAATGTGTAGTTTGCAAAAGGTTTATTACATCGGGTGTGACTCTTCTTTATTCGTTGGGTTAAAATCTCAGTCAACTTCTGATGCATCTATACATATCGAAGATGATGTTAAGAAACTAATCTTGAAAGAAAAGTTATCAGCTCAATTTAAGTGATAGGCCTTAGGAAAAACTAAGTCCCATGCTAACTAGAAATAATGCCTGAAAAAATTGGTTCAGTGGACTTATAGCTTTTTTTGGAAATTTTTTTTCCATAACATTTGTCACAGGCTATAGTGAATCTGACAATATTAAAATTGAGAGTTTCTATTTGATTATATTTGAGGAAGATATTCTGAGTATTTTATAGATCAATGATAATTTTTCTTAGATGGTGAAGTATTTAGTTGCACGACATGTAGCTTGAGAGGTGATGAGTTATGTGCTGGCTTCTAAATTTTGGTAGTATTGTTTTAGATCAAAATACAAAAGTATTGCAGAAGTAGGTCGGGATGAATGCGCATCAGGCATGGACAAGTTTATTGAAATAGTCTTAGAGTAGTTTTAATGCATGAACAAGTTGTTCAAACACATTTTATGAAAGTAACAGTGTTATAGTTTCAAAAAAGTCTATTTTGTTAGTTGAATCTATGTGAAATGAAGATAAAAAAATAGTACATGCATAATTGAGTCTTTCAAACAAATTGTCAAACCACTAAGTTACAATATTTATAGGCATTCATCACATCATGATGTTAATAACCTACTGTAGTATAACTATATTGATAAGTAACTCACTATGCTATGGACTTGGAAAATTATTTTGATATGCATATTAGTGGCATTACAGGTCAAGTTTTACCTCTTAGTCTGCAAATTTTGTTTAATAAGTTTGTAATTGTAATTGCATTTCATTTTCTCATTTTCTAATTATTTGTCTTTAGATCATTCACCGTCGTTGTTTCGGTTAAACCTCAATAGTTATTTCATCGGTTTCAACATTGTTTGAGAAAGAAACGTCTTTGTTTCATTTACTAGCTTTGTTGTTGTTGTTGCAGTGAAGGAAGTTGTGTTGAAATCGAAGTCGCTTGTAATTAAGGACAAGATTTTAGTTTCTATTACTGCTGGAATCAAGTTGAAAGAATTCAGGTAACAGATACATATTATATAGTTTGAAAAGAAACAACAAATACATATTATATTAGACTATGAAATGTTTGTGCATGTTTAGATTAAAAGTTCACCAATTTATTCTATGTTTGGTATTGGAATGCATGTTTAGTGTATATTTAGATTATAAATGAAATTTTTATAATAACTATGCATTTGTAAAAGCTACGTTGATATATGAACCATGGTGTTTTTCCATCCTTTATATGATAAAGAGTAATGTATAATTTATTTCATTTTAGAAAACCAAACATGATAAAAAAGGATTGGGTGGAGTTACCTCCACACAGTCAAAGTTATAAGGACGGTGTAAATTACTTTTTGGATATTGCATTCACCAAAGGAATGGTTGAAGAAGAAGAGATTTTGTGTCCTTGTTCTGTATGTTACAATGATTGTTGTGAAGTAAGAGATGTAGTGTATGACCATTTATGTAGTAAAGGATTTGTAAAGGGATACACTGAATGGATTTATCATGGTGAAGATGAGAGTCTTATAGATTTTGATGGTGATAATGATGATGAAACATCATCTCATGATGATATTGATGGCTTACTATTTGAGACATTTAAAGATGTGGCTGAAGGAGGTGGAGTACATGAAAGGATAAATGAAGATGCAAAGAAATTTTATAAACTAGTTGATGATGCAAATCAAGAGTTGTATCTTGGTTGTGAAAAGTTTTCCTCGTTATCATTCACTATTCGAATTTATTTGTTGAAATGTCTCCATGGATGGAGTAATGCATCATTCACTGCTCTCGTAGAGTTGTTAAAAGAGGCTATGCCAGATTTGAACATCCCTGTCTCTTTCAATAAAACAAAATCTATGATAAAAGATTTGGGCTTAGACTATAAAAAGATTGACGCATGTCCGAACAACTGCATGTTGTTTTGGAAAGATCACGAGAAAGATGATTCATGTCATATTTGTGGCACGTCAAGGTGGATTGAATATCCTGAAGTTGCTAATGATCTTGAAGAATCTATAAAAGCTCATAAGGTTCCCGCCAAAGTTCTAAGACATTTTCCATTGATTCCAAGATTGAAAAGACTTTTTATGTGTTCAAAGACAGCTGATACATTGAGGTGGCACGCAGACCATCGTTCAAGGGATGGGAAGTTAAGGCATCCAGCTGATGCCCAAGCATGGAAAGACTTTGATGCCAAACATTCAGATTTTGCTCGTGAAACTCGTAACATCAGACTTGGGTTGGCAAGTGATAGCTTTAATCCATTTAGGACCATGAGTCTTTCACATAGCACATGGCCTGTTGTATTAACAGTATATAACTATCCGCCAAATTTGTGCATGAAGGCTGAAAATTGTTTGATGTCGTTACTTATTCTTGGACCAAAGTCACCCGGAAATGAAATTGATGTGTATTTGTAGCCACTTATTTAGGAGCTTAAGATATTGTGGGAAGTCGGTGTAGAAACATATGATATTTCAAAAAATCAATCATTTCAAATGCGTGCAGCTCTTATGTGGACTGTGAATGACTTCCCTGCATATGCTATGTTATCCGGTTGGAGTACTAAAGGGAAGTTTGCTTGTCCTGCTTGTAATCATAAAACTTCTTCAAGATACTTAAAACATAGTCGAAAGATGTGTTATATGGGTCATCGAGTCTTTTTGGATTCAAATCATAGTTGGAGATCAAATTCAAGTTCTTTTGATGGAAAGCCAGAATATAGGTCTGCACCCTCCTTGTTAGATTCAACAATGATTTTAAAAGACTTAGAAAAGATTCCTGACGTAGTGGGGCAAAAATATCATAAAAAAAGGCCTGGTCCATAGAAGAAAAAGTCTATCTTTTGGCAATTACCATATTGGAAGGATAATTCTTTGCGCCATAATGTAGATGTTATGCATACAGAAAAGAACATTTGTGATAATATAATGGGGACTCTCTTAGATATTGAAGGGAAGAAAAAGGATCATGCAAAAGCTCGTTTGGACCTACAACACATGGGGATTAGAAAAAAACTCCATTTGAAGGAAACAAGTGATGGTAAGAAAACTCAAATCCCTAAGGCATGTTTCTCCCTAACAAAGCAAGAGAAAACTATTTTTTGTAATGTTTTAAAGACAGCAAAACTTCTTGATGGCCTTGCATCCAATATTTCTCGATGTGTTCAAGTTAATGAAGGAAAAGTTTCTGGATACAAGAGTCATGATGCTCATATTATATTGCATTACTTGTTGCAAGTAGCAATAAGAGGGATAGGCCCTAATCAAATTGTTATCCCTTTGCTTCGACTTTGTTCATTTTTTCGGTGTTTATGCCAGAAGGTTATAGATGTGAAATCATTGGATTACTTGGAAGTAGAAATTGTTGATACACTTTGCCAATTCGAGCGTATCTTCCCTCCGAGTTTCTTTGACATAATGGTTCACTTACCAATTCACCTGGAAAATGAAGTCAGATTGGGTGGACCGGTTCAATTTCGATGGATGTATTATATGGAAAGATGTTTGAGTGATTTAAAATCTTTTGTTCGTAATAGGAGTCGTCCAGAGGGTTCTATCGTTGAAGCATACTTAGTTAAAGAATCTCTAACATTTTGTTCAAGATATTTGTCTAGTGCTGTAGACACAAGGATGAATAGAATGACACGAAATAGCGATGATACTCCAAACATAGGTCATCCAATCGGGGGAAAGAAACTAATTTCCCTTGATCATAAGTCTCTAAACCAAGCTCACGGCTACATTTTATTCAATTGCGATGAAGTGCAAGAGTACATTAGGTACACTCATCTACTTGATACAAAATTTCATTCTCACTATAAGTTTTCTTTTTCTTTTGTATTAAAATATTAGTTATTTATTTTGTATAGAGCATGAGGTTAATGATCATAATCCTCTAAAAAAAGGAAGTCCAGAAAAGCTAACAATCAAAGAGAAGATTTTATTCAATGGTTTGAAACACGTCTCATGGATGAGAAAGTTACTGAATGGTTGAAGGTGTTGTCTAGGGGACCAAATGATGCTGTTAGAAGGTATCCTGGTTATGTTATTAATGGATACAGGTTTCATACAACAAATCGTGAAGCAAGGCTTAAAACACAAAATAATGGTGTGACATTAGAAGCGGTGACTCAAGTTCTTAGAAATGCGAAGGATGAAAATCCCAAAAAGATTTGTGTGACTTACTATGGGGCAATAAAAGATATTATAGAGTTAGATTATTATGGTCATGAAAAATATGTATTGTTCAAATGTGATTGGTTTGTGCATGAAAAGGATAAATATGGATCGCCGTTGGTTTACTTTAACAAAAAATGCTACAAAAATGATCCATTTGTGTTGGCATCTCAAGTTCAACAATGCTTCTTTATTGAAGATCCTTTAAACAAAAACAAACACTATGTTCTAAATGCACTTCCAAGGGAATCATTTGACATGGGAGAATCTTTAAGTACAGATGCCCAAGAATATGATATTTCAACAAATCTTAATACATTAAGGGATGATTGTGAAGTGGATTTGGTTAGGAAAGATTTGCCGGATGATATCTTTGAAATTCCTTTGTCAGAACTTCACAACCAAAAAGCAATAGAGAGTGATCATAGTGACACGAGTTATGGAAGTGATGATGAAACCGATTATGATTCTAGTACTGATTAGGTAGCATTGGCAATGTGTTTCTAGTACTGATTATGATTCAAAGTTTAATTTATGGTTACGCATGCTATCATTTTTTTACTTAAACCATAACAAACTAGATTCAAATATACTGTTAATTTATGGTTATGCATAATGTCAATTTATACTCAATTTTTCATTATTTAATTATGTAAGTTTATCCCTTTGTAGATCATAGTTGTTGGCCATAATGGACAATGTAAGAAGTGTAAAAGATGGTGGATCACATAGGAGGAGTGGTCGAAGTCCTACTAAAAGATTTGATTTTCCTCTTCAAGTCAGATCAAGTGCAGAATTGACAAAGAAAGTTCTACAACATGTTAAGAAAAAAAAAATTGACAAGTAACATGAGATGCTACAGGGAAACAATAGAGAAAGGGTTCAGGAAATTATAGAAGTTGTGGACGGTAAATCATTTTCTTGTTTCATTTGATTTTATATAAAATGATGTATGTTAAAGTTATGTTTTGGAATTCCTTTAGATATATTATTCCTACTGTTTTTTAATGAATTTTTACAAAAATTAGAAACACCAAAAAAAGGAACTCAACAAGAAAGAGTTCAAAAGTTTGATCACAATTTGGACAAAGAGACTATTGCAAAGAAAATGGAGATAGACAAACTCTCGCAACCAAAAGTAATGAAAGATCATGCACATGGTGACAAAGAAGTTGTACAAGGTAAGTGATTTTTAAATTTTTCTATTATGCATACATTACATGAAATTATTCCTAATATCTTTTGGTGAATTTTTACTAAAATTAGAAACACCAAAGAAAAGAACTCAAGTGAAAGCTACAGTGAATAGAGAAAGAATTCAAAAGGTTGATGGAAAATTGGACAACCACATTGCTATGAAGAAAGCGGAGAGACCTAAGCTTTTGCAACCACAAGCTAAGGAAGTTCTTGCACATGGAAACAAAGAAGTTTCACAAGGTAGTTAATATCCTTGCATATACTTTAAATTTATATATTTCTTTTCATGACATTATTATGACGAGAAAATTATATTGAAACCAGGAATGCTGAAAAAAAGAATTCATGAGAATCTACTAGAGAACAATAGAGATAAAATTCAAAAGGTGGAAAAACCAGTTGCAAGGAGAATACTTATTTCTTCCAAAAATAAGAAACCAGAGAAATCTACTCTATCTTTGGACACAATGATGTCAAAAGCTGAATGCTCTCAAAAGCTAAACAGGGTGCCAAAATGCCCATCAATGTTGATTGATGATTATGTAGATCTTCACAAGTCAAAGGAAATGGATGCAACCAAGTCAAACAATGGTGAAAAACTGGGCAGCATCGTTAACCGTAGCTCTAATCAAAATCAATCAAAAAAAGGAACTCGACAAGAAAGTGTTCAAAATCGGGCAAAAGCCAACGAAGAAGATGCAATCACAAATAGAGAAGAAGAAAAAGGTAATTAGTTTCATATTTCATAATAATGATTTCATGTATTATTTACATATTGGTAGAAAACATGTGATATCATGTTGTTGTGTTATTACTCTATAGAAACATCCCAAAGAAAAACTCGTGGGAAAACTTTGTGCAAAAAGATTCATGCAAGAAATTTGGAAGAGCGAGTAGAAGTGACCTTTAATGAGGATTTTCAACCAATTGGTCCTAGTGAAAAAGTAGTATCTGACTTGAGCCTCTTCTTCGGAACATTGGCTAGGAACTCAACATTTTGTCCTCTACGTTACACCAATTGGTCAGGAATGCCAGATGATAATAAAAACTGTTTCTGGAGATATACTAATGTATGTTTTTATCTATGAATTTGAAAGTCTAATTATTAAAAAAAAGTGTTTCATTTCTTGATCTTGTCTTATCTTATAATTTATGTAGCGGAAGTTTATCTTGTCGGTTGAAGCACGAGATTGGATTGAGACCATTGTTAGAGAGGCATGGAGAAGATATAAGCACAAAATTAAGAAGAATCATTTTTTGAAGTATTCCAACATGACCGAGAGACTCAAAAATCGTCCGCCAAACGTGCCAATAGCCCAGTTTAAGAGTCTTTGTGCTTATTGGAGTAAGGAAACTATACAAGTAAGATTAATAATTTTTTTATGTATGTGTGTGAATTTACACCTTTCTATGTATGCCATAATTAAGTAATATTTATTATAATAATTCTGTCAAATTTAAATGTAGGCAATCAGTGAAAATAACACTAGAAATAGAGCTCAACTAAAGTGGATGCATCGAATGGGTCCCAAAAACTTTGCTTTGACTCGTGAAAAAGTGGTAACTTTCTTTTGTTCTCAATAAATTATTCCTTGTATGAATGTTTCTTTGTTCAATTAAAGTATTCGTGAAAAACTTTTCTTTGACTCGTGAATAGGAATTTTAATTCACATAATTTGTTATGGAATTATTTTGATTTGTGCAGCGTGAAAAGGAAAAAAGAGAGCCCACTCAATCAGAAATGTTTGTTGAAACTCGAAAAGGAAATAAAGGAAAGGAACTGGATGTAGAAACTGGAAAAGTAATTGTATGTAACATTGTTTATATAATACGTTTGCTTAATATAATCGGCCAACATTGTCTATAATAGTAGCTAATATTTTTTTTTTTTGTAATTTATGCTAGTCCCAACTTCAAGAAATGGTTGAAAAGGAGGAAAGTGATACAGAAGCTTTTAAAGTTTTTTTTGGAAAGGAGTGTCCAGGCAGGGTACGCTGTTATGGGAGAAACATAACTAAAACTTCCTTAAAGAGAAAGGCAGAGAT